CCTCGTGGCTCCCGACAGGAAAAGACTCTTTTAGCACCTGCGATGGTTGGCGATCTCAAGAGACCTGGGAACACAGGTGCTGTGAGCTCTTATAAAAGCTGTCTAGAATCTACAGTATACAGCAAGCTAACATGCGAGTGGATGGTGTGAAATGCAGGCAGACCGTTGAGAAGCCATCGAGTGCTGTGCTGAAGCTAAATCAGTAAATTAGCATGTCTTACTGTGGTGTTCCTCTCAGGAAACAGTTTGGGAAAAAATGTGACAGTTCTAGTAGTGTAAAATCAGGCAATGCTGCAGAATATCTGAATATATGCGTACATGCTTTCCCGGTTTATTATTTTTTAGAGAAGAAGAACCTTTTTTACTCTGCTTCCACATGCTTGTCTACACCTCATGAGAAACTGTGTAATTGGCTTTATGAGCTCTCGGTATGAGCGGTTACAGCGCATTTTAATGACAGCATCAATGGAGAAGCTTGATATTAAAAACCATCTGACCCAGGATTTCAAGATATTTAAATTAAGTAAGCGCCCTTCTCCTACCTGTTACGCGCACACAGAGACATGCACACAATGCAGTCTGGCCTTAATGCGCTTGGCCAGCCTTTGTAATTAATTTTTATTTGCATCTATTGGATCAGGAGAAATTAATTAGATCTCTCTCTGGACACAAAGATGTTATCCATACCACATCCATCTTTCTGTGTGAGAGCGAGAGAGCATGGTCGCTGCCCACTCAGAAGGAAGCCAAACATGATTCACTGAAAAGATTCTTTGAGGCCAATGTAAGACTAGATGAAAAAAAAAATTGTGAAAAAAAAAATTGTGAAGGCTCTTATAATTCAATATGCCAATGCTTTCTTAAGGGGCCATATCATGTAACTTTTTTGTGCTTTTATAGCATTAGTCAAGGTTTCCTTTTTCAATGCATTTAGTTTAGCATCTGCATCTTTTTGCATGTGAAATAAGCAATTTAAGGGTTGCAGTTTTGCAGTCTGGTCTAAAATAGTTGGCACTGCCCTATCCTTCTATTATAGCTTTTTTTGTAAAGCCTGCATTGTGACACATTCAGGAAGCAATCCATGCAGACAAGGGTGGGCAAAATAATGATAGTCACAATAAACTGGTAAAAATTTGACACCTGTATAAATTTTGAATTGTCTCTATTGCAGTTATGCTCATGTGATGCTGCAGTGCTGCAAATTTATCAAAATGTATAACTTTGATGTATTTTTAAGCCTAACCACTTTAAACTTTCATGTTATTTTAAGCCGTTCAAGTGCAATAAGACACAAATAAGAAAACTAAATTTGGTAGTTGCATGTTTTCTGTGCACACGCACCGATCTGTATCTGTTTTCTATTGTATTTAGTTGTATTATTGTTTGTAATTAGATTCTTTGTTCGTTCTTATTTTATTACTGTTTACTTGTTTTCAATAAGCTTGATAACTTTTTACTTTCTGTACATATGTTAGACTAATATCAGTGTTTTTTAACAACCTTATTTCCAGCAAAAATAACTAATATGTGACCTGTGCTGGCAAAATGAGTCACAATGAGCACATTTTCAAAAATGAGTTATTTTTATGTTCACACTCTCCATTAAAAGACCTTCAGAATAATGTATGATTTGTTGTAATCAGACGAAAAGTGACTGAGCTACACCTGTTTGAAGTCGATAGAGTCAGCAAAGTCAATTTTGAGAAAAATCAAGCAAAAGTTTTCTGAAGGTTCCAAAGCAAAATCACAGAGCAACGTTGCATCTTTTCCTCCAGTTCTTTTCTTAATAATAATTACTATATTAATAATCACAATATAGCTATTTTTATTTTATCTTTATTATAAATAAGAACAGATGCAAAAAACAGTAGAACAAATATAAGAAAGAAACAAATAATGCATTACCTTTTTCATTTTACAAAAGCATTCAAGTAAGAAAAACAAATAATCAAATGTAAAAATCCCTTAGTCTGTTAATTTAAAAACATTTATTATTAAAACTACAAAAGCAGTTCAATCAAGAGCAGCGAGTGATTCCCTCTTTTCTTTTATTGTTAGATTAACATTAATGAGGCGGCCTATATTAAGACCCACTGTAATGCATGGATCCAGGCACGGCGCCAGAATTTTTTCTCTACCGGTGCTAAGGTTTCTCTCTCAAAACTTTCTCTCTGACTCCTCTTTATTTTCTCCTTCTTTGGCCCCCTCAGAGACATGGTTTCCTACCTGCACTCTTGTTTTCTTTATCAAAAAAAACGGTCCATCTCATCTGCTCGGGGGGCTAAACCGTGGCTATTCAAAATTCTGACGGGGCTATAGCCCCCCCTAGCCCGGTGTAGCGCCGTCACTGCATGGATCTAATATAATGTTACACATCAGATGTTTTTCCCTAACAGTTCCCCAAACGTTCACTTAAGACATAACAGATTATGTTTGCGTGAATACTTAAATAATTCTGTGTATATTTGTATATGTATCGGGATCGCGCGCAGTCAGAAGCGCCTTTATGCGCACGCTTCGGATGACAGACAACGTGAGAAGCAAGCGGAGAAAAGGTACTCCTCTCAGAAAACGTACAAATAAAGGTAATTAAACATCTAAAATTATTATTAGGAGCATTTGGGATCGCTAGACGAGGGCTTAATGAACTCATTTTATTAGCCGGTGCGCAATGCATTCCGTCTCATTTTGCCAGCACGGGTCACATATTGTGATTTATACAACAGTTCGTTCTGGTTCTCAAATCTGATTGGTTGAGAACCGTGAGATATTGTACTGGTATCGCTACAGGAACGCCCTTTCACAATTTTGTATCACTCCGCTTGTTCTAGCCGGGTCTATGTTTTTTTTTATTATTCACTGAGCTAATCGTAGAGTACGTTTGTTAAATAAGAAGAAACGTCTAGCTTCGCGGTCTATACGAATTCTAAAAGTGAAGTATGTTTAACTGTCAACTTGAGCTTTGAATCCGTGGCGGAAGGAAGTAGTTCCGCACAAAAGAGGGTTTTATTAGGCACTCCGTTGTTTCTTGTTTAATTACACACATGTTTCGTCGAACTGTTGTATAAACGCAATATCACTCTCGTACTCGAGCGATACCGGCTCTATATCAGCATGGCTGATATAGAGCCGGTATCGCTCTCGTACTCAAGTGATATTGCTCATATATATCATTAACATAAAAAAAAGACTCTTATCATAGACTTTGGTCATATGGCCCTGCCTACATGCAGAAATGTGCTGCTTACAATATTAAATAGTTCACCCTAAAATGAATGCCTGTGTAACTTTTCTTTTTTATGAGAAACACAGTAAAAGATATTTTGAAAAACATTGATGCTTCTATGGGCCGCTATACGTAAGCCGTCCACCATATTGTCTGTGAACACTACAGAGAGCAATAAGAGTGTATCTGCACAGTAGGCTGTACCAAACTCTTTTATTTCAAAACAGTAACTCCATGTTTTTCATGATATGACAATTATTTAGCACTTAACTTTTTAAAAAATTTTATTTAGCGCTTAACTAATTGATGTAACACTGTTTTAACATTATCATACTGTCGGTGCTCAGATTTGAATTTATATTCTCGGCAGGCACTTTCTTATCAAAGCGACTTTGATAAGACAGCGCATACATTATGTGCGTGGAAGAGAGATGCAAAGCAAAAAAGTAGATAGCGTATCCGAGTCAAGTACTACAGTTGAAGACAAAAACACTACAAGCACCAACCATGAGGTGCGAGGAAGGAGTGTGGAGGAAACTCTAGATCTAGAGAAGTAGGAACCTTTTGTGTGAAGAGATGAAAGTGCTACATGACCAGATGTACCAAATCATTACCAAGACAATGGTGCTGATTAAGAGCCGGTATCGCTCTCGTACTCAAGTGATATTGCTCATATATATCATTAACATAAAAAAAAGACTCTTATCATAGACTTTGGTCATATGGCCCTGCCTACATGCAGAAATGTGCTGCTTACAATATTAAATAGTTCACCCTAAAATGAATGCCTGTGTAACTTTTCTTTTTTATGAGAAACACAGTAAAAGATATTTTGAAAAACATTGATGCTTCTATGGGCCGCTATACGTAAGCCGTCCACCATATTGTCTGTGAACACTACAGAGAGCAATAAGAGTGTATCTGCACAGTAGGCTGTACCAAACTCTTTTATTTCAAAACAGTAACTCCATGTTTTTCATGATATGACAATTATTTAGCACTTAACTTTTTTAATTTTTTTATTTAGCGCTTAACTAATTGATATAACACTGTTTTAACATTATCATACTGTCGGTGCTCAGATTTGAATTTATATTCTCGGCAGGCACTTTCTTATCAAAGCGACTTTGATAAGACAGCGCATACATTATGTGCGTGGAAGAGAGATGCAAAGCAAAAAAGTAGATAGCGTATCCGAGTCAAGTACTACAGTTGAAGACAAAAACACTACAAGCACCAACCATGAGGTGTGAGGAAGGAGTGTGGAGGAAACTCTACATCTAGAGAAGTAGGAACCTTTTGTGTGAAGAGATGAAAGTGCTACATGACCAGATGTACCAAATCATCACCAAGACAATGGTCTGCTCCCGCAGAAGTCAAACAAATACAACCTTATGTAAGTGTGTTTAACAATAACATAACCTTAATATGTGTGTGTGAATATGAGTGTGAGATAATGGAGTGTAGTTTACTGACCGAAGTAGTTATTAGTGTGCCGCATAAATATTGCATCACTGAGTAGCGAAGAGAAAGTGGGGTGTGTGCAGCAAGACTAGGAAGTCTGTTTAACTGTGTGTGTATCTCCCTCTGCGGCAACTCTCATTAAAATTGTAAAGTCATACACTGATGAGGGCACTCTAGAGTAACCCGCACACACGCACGCACAAGAATGAAATATTATTGAACATCATCATCATCACCACCAACATAATCTGGCTGACCTACAAAAAATGTTTAATAATATAATATGTAATAATATAAAATAATCATGTACCGTTCTCTGGCTCAGACTTGCGTTCTTGTTCTGTATCGGTGAGGGACAGGACAGAGTTTGCTCGGCTCGACAGGCAGGAACTGTGCTCTGACTTTACTTCCTGCATCCACAACCGCAGGGCGTGGTCAGGGGAGGTGCCGCCCTCAGATTCGGGATCGGAAGGGACACCAGCAGTCACGCCTCCAGGGTAAGCAAGGTCCTGATTGGCCGCGTGAAGCTCTGTCTGGAAATCAGGGAACCCGGTCTTGGAGGGGTCCGAGAAATCTGTGAAAATCAGAAAGAGAAAGGAATGAATTAATTAAATGTATTGCGCAAATCAAAGTTTTAGTACGCACACACATAGGCTAGTGGATTAAAGTTTAGAGCTGGAGTTGTGTACTGACTGCTGAGATTTCTGGAGCCTGGCTGAGAAACAATTTTGTTCCCTCTTCAGAGATTGAGAATGGCTTAAGAAACCTCAAATAAATATTAAACAAAAAAGAGTTCTGCTTTTAACCGCACAAAATGTGAAAACCATTTAAATTCCCTCAAGAATCTCAGAGAGTGTAGGAGACATATGGGTTTACACACATGCACACTCATACACAGAACCTCAATGTGTGTGTGAACTAGCACTACTTTTCTCTCTCATTTTTACGCTTACAGTACATCAGCTCACTCTAGCATACACACACAAACTGTCAGACTTTTGTACCTGTTTTGCCCCCGTAGTCCTTCCTGTGTCTCCTTATTTGGTTATGTTTCTGTCCTCGTTTAGTTTGATTATGTTCCATTGTTGTCACCTGTGTTCCCCTGATTGCCCTGTGTTTATAAGTCCTAGTCTGTACAGTTAGTGTTTGTCAGGTCTACCAGTGATGTACGTGTGTCTACCTCCTGTTCCCTATGTTGGATTTACCCCCTGTGTTGGATTAATAAGGACTCTTTCGATTATCCACGGCTCCGTGTTCCTTCCGGCAGCGTAAATTGACAGAAGACCTGACCGAATACAGATACCTCCGTGTTTTCCCCTCCGTTTGTTTTCTCGTTTTACTTTCAGTGTTTTTGTTTCCGATGTGTTTCCCTAATGGATCCCCTCCTTAGCCCCGAATACATCCTCCTCCTGCTGGAGCATGGGGGAAGATCGCTCGAGGGTCATCCCAGACTGTTTCAGGCTATTGCCCATCTTACCACCTACCCGGACGACGCGCTCTGCGCGTTCTATAACGCCAGCCTCAACCCCGTGTGCAGAGCTCCGTCATCCCGCCGCGATCTACGAGCCAGCGCAATGCCGAGCGACTGAGCAGAGGATCGCCCCGGAAAGAGAGCCCAAGCCATCAGACCAGGTGCGAGAGCCGGCGAAAATGCCCGCCACGAGGGAGAAAGCTGCGGACGGTGTGAGCGCGGAGAGGAGCTCCGCCCCCTGCACCGCAGCTGAGGGTGAGCTGAGTATGGTGCGGCGAAAGTGCTAAAACAAAGAGGGGAGGGCTCCAGTCCCCGAATCCAGTCCAGCGCGGTTGTCACCTGTGTTCCCCTGATTGCCCTGTGTTTATAAGTCCTAGTCTGTGCAGTTAGTGTTTGTCGGGTCTACCAGTGATGTACGTGTGTCTACCTCCTGTTCCCTATGTTGGATTTACCCCCTGTGTTGGATTAATAAAGACTCTTTCGATTATCCACGGCTCCGTGTTCCTTCCGGCAGCGTAACGTGACACAAACCACATTCTCTGAAGATTCTCCGAAGTAGCTTTACTGGCATGAGAAAAAAGTTTAATATTGCCATAGCATTGGTAACATTTAATGACAGACATACAGTACAGTTTAAAAGTTTGGGGTCAGTAAGAGATTTCTTTAATTAATAGTTTTTTTTAATATATAATTTCTATATCATTTCTATTTATAGTTTAAGTTTTTGAACAAGTCTTTTATGCATTTATTTGATCTGATCTGAGTGAAATATTATTACAGTTTAAAAGAACTATTCTATTTGAATATATTTTAAAATGTGATGGCAAAGCTGCATTTTCAGCTGCCATTGCTCCAGCCTTCAGTGTCACATGACTTCTCAGAAATTATTCTAATATGCTGATTTGGTGCTGTTGAAAGCAGTTATGCTGCTTAATATTTTTGTGGGATCAATGATTATTCAGTGAGTATTCTTTAATTAATAGAAGTTCAAATGAACGCATTTATTTGAAAAATAAATCTTTTGTAACATTATAAAAGTCCCCTTTGATCAATTTAATGCATTCTTTCTGAAAAAGTATTAATTTCTGTATAATAATAATAATAATGATGATGATGATGATGATGATGGTAGTGTACATCATTTTATAAAAAGAAACAAAACAAAAAAACTTGTTGTCATTCTCTTCTTTTTTCATCCAGCCTCTTCTCATCTCATCTGTTCCCATTTCCTCTTGCCTTCTCTTCTCATCTCATCATATCCTAACTGGTCTTTTTGGACTACTTAGGGAACTTTGCATTTTGAGCAAGTGTATCTACATACTGTAGACATAGCACACTACAATCTCTTTCTCACAGTCTTCTCTCAATCAAGTGTGATTTTTCAGACCTGTGTGTGCGTGTGAGAAGCGAGCTCTTTACTCAAGTGTCCTTAAGAATCCTCTCCTCTACCTCTCTGACTCCTGTCTCCGTGGCGACCCCTCTCACTGCTCTCCCTGCTCTAATCATCTCAGTACTAATTGCCCACGATGCACTTCTCCGTCCTTCACTGAGAACATGACCCCCGCTTCTCGACCTGACCCACACACACATACACACTCGTCCACGAGCAGACAGGGATGGAAAAAGCCAGGGTAAGAGGAATGGGTGAAAGACCTTTCTTTACATCTCTTTCCATTTCTCCTCCTTTCTCTCTCTCTGTCTCCATTTCCATCTCTCTCTCTATCCATCGCTCTCTTTGTAAAGCTGTTTCCGTGGTAACTGGAACGGAATGTTTTGTTCTGCATGTAGCATTTGAATAATTCCATTGAGGAAACAAAAAGCCTCACTGTAACCTGCTCAACCACCGCCTTATGTATAATATATGTATATATGTATATACTGTATGTATGTACGTATGTATCTATCTATCCTGATGTTGGACCCATACAGCTGAGAAACAAAATTCAGTGCTGAGGGTAGTCTAAAAGTATGTTTGAAACAGTTTGACATTTCTTGAATCACTGCTAAATTAATGGGCAGTATTTCAAATTTCTGCAGGTCCACAGATTTATTTATTTATTTATTTTTTTTTATGAGCATGAAGCTTTGAGAAATGCTGTGTGGAGTTGATCATTTGCAAAAGGAAACCCACAAAGGCCCATGCATTATTATTTTTCTGTCTTTTTTCTTTTCTTTTCTTTTATTTATTTATTTCTTTTCTTTTGAGAAAACATGTAAACAAATGATATGTATGCCATCTGGATAACATCATTTATTATAAAGTATATATATTTTTATTAATTATATATCATTTAATCATACATATTTAATGATGTATATAATACATATTAATGTAATAGATAATAATTTGGAGTTTTAAAAAAATATTATTAGTGTAATTTTGATTTTTAATCAAAAACAATTCATATATACTCTAAATGTATCTGTTCAGGTGGCCAAAGGGTCCAGCAGAACTAAGTTATATTCAGCAAGAATAAAAATGAAAGGGAACATTGCTTGTGTGTGTTCGTTAGTTGTGGGGAATCCTTTAATTAATGGAAATATTTCACCCTTGGGACTCAGACAAGCAAAAATGCCTCCATGAATGTAGAATATCAAAGACAGAAGAATAAAGGGTGAAATAAATTATATTATTAAAATTATTTTAAAATTTAAATTGTAAATCATTTTTCAAAAGTAAAACACACATCCCATTATTATTTAATGGCAATAGTGTTTGATGTTTGGCGTGTGCGTGTCTGTTGATGGCTCATTTCAATTTACAGTGAGTTTTTTCAAAGAATCCTGTACCTCACTAAGGAATCACACCATATAATCACTTTCATTAAAGCAAATATCAACAACATCAAACAAAACAACTCTGGAACTATGATCTCCTTTAGATAATGCAGCTTTACATGCAATGTCAGATGCTCATGATAACAGCTCCAGTGCCCCTCTACTAAATGTAGAGGTACATTAATTATGTGTCATCATTTAATGCTGTCTCTCTCACACAGACACAAGCAAGCATGTACACATATCCTTGTGGAAATTTCGTTTGACATCCATTAAACGTTATATGATCTGATCTCAATATATTAATTAAGCTACTGTATGTTTAAAATTAAACTATATACCACAACAATTCTATTCCTAATCTTTCGTGTTTTTAAAATTCAAAATAAGACATTACTAGTCTTTTTAATAGTATTTGTTATTGCCATAATCTCTTTCTTGACAAACTTTGGCTTTCTAGATTACAGCGTTTGACATCCATTAAACGTTATATGATCTGATCTCAATATATTAATTAAGCTACTGTATGTTTAAATTAAACTATATACCACAACAATTCTATTCCTAATCTTTCGTGTTTTTAAAATTCAAAATAAGACATTACTAGTCTTTTTAATTGTATTTGTTATTGCCATAATCTCTTTCTTGACAAACTTTGGCTTTCTAGATTACAGTGAGATTATTTGAAATGAAAAAAAAAAAAGTTTATTCAGAAAGGATGCAGTGAATTGATCAAAAGTAATTTATAATGTTACAAAAGATTTCTATTTCATATAAATGCTGTTCTTTAAAATTTACTTATTCCGAAAAAATGTATAATGGTTTCCACAAAAATATTACATTTTTTAATCAAAATTCATTCATAATAATAAGAAATGTTTCTTCAACACCAAATCAGCATATTAGAATGATTTCTGAAGGATCGTGTGACAGTTATTATAAACTAAAATAATTTAAAACACTTTTTTTTTAATTGTAATAACATTTCACAATGTTATGGTGTTACTGCATTTTGATCAAATAAATGCAGCCTAGGTGAACATAAGAGATTTCTTTCAAAAACATAAAAAAATCTTACTGACCCCAAACATTTGAATGGTAGTGTATATGTCATTCTTTTTAACATTCTTTTTCTACTTTTTTAAACTCAAAATTTGATTGTAAAAGAGTTTACAATTTAATTTAAAAAACATTATATTCTGAATGGCCCACAATCTAGACACACACACACACACACACACACAAACAGAAGTTTCTACCTTTCTGCGGCTGCTCCAAGGGTTTCCTGCGGACTTTGTGGCTGTTGTAGGTGAATCTGCGGTCAGGCTCATAATCGGTGCGGGCGTGCGCCTCTCTGTAGTGTTTGTGATGAAGGTTGGTGCCGTCCTCTTCCTCAGATGAGCTGGAGTAACTGAGCTCCAGGCCGGGGTGGGGCCGTGCCAGAGATTGGTACAGCTTCTCTTCCATCTCTGCTTACTTTCACAATATCACACACACACACACACACTCAGTAATCTCAAAAACTCACTCAAAGCACACTGCACACACACAAAGAACAACAAAAAAAAAGAACAGAACAGAGGCGATGAAATAGAAAACAAACAACAGCAGTTCAAATGTGCTCTAAAATTTCATTTCACTAGTGCAATTTTTTGTAACACGATACATGAAACAGCTTGAGAACAAACGGCTGCTCAGTAGAAATTTAAAGAGGCATGAAGGACAAAACAAAACAGAAACACTTTCCAAAACCGCCCCCATGTTTTAGTCAAATATTCATCAACCACCAAGAAATAGAGAGAAGGTCTCAGAGGACAAATGAAAGAGAAGAGGAAGAGATCGAGAGAACGAGATGAATAGATAAAGAGATGCTTAGATAGAGGAAAAGAGAGGAGATAAAAAGGGTGAAAGGCTAGGGAAAAAAGAAACAAACTTATGAATTATACAATTGTCCGGTAATGAAGCCAATTAAATCATGAAATTAACTTGTCTCACTATACAGTATACCAGTCAATAATAGATTAAAATAATTCATTAGGATTATTTTTTGTTGTTGTTGTGGTTAACCCAATCAATCTTACATTCTGAATTAGCTGAAATTTCACTCTAAATAAATCTATATTGATTCCTTTGACAGTGTAGTACATCCAGTATTAATGCACTCAGTTCTTCTAAAGAAAGAAAACAAAATGATAACTAACAAATTGGCTTTAATGATGTTGTAACAGTCATCTGGAGCTCCTCTCATTAGAGATGAACCATTGTTGCTTTTTCATGACCAATCTAGATTATTAGGGATGCAACAAACAATTGATACTGAAAATAATAATGTCAATAATAACCATAATGTAAAAACTGATAATCAATAATGAAAATAACAAAGGACTTCCATTATCAATTAGTGAGTTCTGTAGGCCTAGATCAGTAACATCACTCTACCATAATAAAAAGGCACATTTCTGAGAGAGAAAAAAAACACTCAAAATACACCTGCCTTTGCAACACATGTGTGTTATTCTTTTATTATTATTATTATTATTATTATTGTAATTTCATTGTTGTTGTTCTTGTTGGTTATATTTCTTTTTATAATATTTGTGTATATAGGAAACTAATATTGGAGTCAGACAAGATAGTGCTTGAATTGCCCTGCATATATCTTACTCAGTGCTCTAGCACTGACACAATTCTCTCTTTCTCTCTCTCCAGAGAGCACGGCTCTCTTTCAGCTTTTACTTCCCAGAATCTAAACGCTGACCATGACCTTTCAATGACCTTTGAGCCTGAAAAGAACATTTGGCATTCAACAGAGAAGCGCGCAGGTAGAGGAGGGCCACTGGAAAACAAGATGCGGTTAGACAGAGAGAAAGAGAAAGGAGAGACGCAGCTGAAAGGAGACAGATGAAAAGGAGAGGTGCAACGGATGAACACGGGATGAAAGAGAACTGACAGACCGTACAGGGTAGAAGAAGAGTCAAACGAAGATGAAGACGGGGACGGATAGGAACAGAAGCATGGCTGAAAAATGAAAGAGGGAAGGATGAGAGTAGACAGAGGAAGAAATGAAGAAGGATAGAAGGAGCTCAAGAAATGACCAGACAGGTTAAAGACTTTGTGGGAAGCAGACAGGAGGGAGACAGACAAAGAAAGAAAGTCGCTCACATCCTGACACTGATGAAATAGAAGTTAAATATTACCATCAAATGCTCGTTAGTGTGTATACTCTGTATTGCTTTGGTAATGGGTTACTAATTGGCTGATGCGGAAATGCACGACATGACTAAGTGATGTGGGAGGGATATGCAGTTAAATCCCTGTCAGTCTCTGGCAGGCTGCCTGCTGATTGGATGTTGTGCCAGAGCGAGTGCCAATTGGAGACTTTGCAGACTGGAGGCAACGTCTTCACACGCAAACACAATTAATAGTCTGTTAGTTAATAGCGGTGGTGACAAACACTCCTTTTATCTGTCTCTCTCGCTCTGCTCTCATGAGACTCATGTGAAGTCTAGCAAAGGAAGCAGATCGAACAATATTACTACAATTTTTGATCAAAACGGAACTTACTGTAACATGTAAAGAGGGTTTAAGGCCACTAATAAAATCTGTGCAGGAATAAACAAAAGTAGACGCACACGTACACTTGAAGCAGACAGATGGGGAGGGTTCTTATGGCAGTGCTGAATAAGTCTTTGTAATCAGACGATTAGGATGATTACAGTGCAGGAGAACAAACCGCCGAGAGGGGGCACAAACATTGGTCACGTATGCACAATTGTGCGCCTAATTGGGTTTGTGCTCCAGTCTACACAGTTTATGTTTGGAGATGCTCTTCCTTTATCATAGAGCAACAAGTAAGAATAAAGTCTCAAGTGGTTCTCTGCAACACCATGTGGGGTCAGAAACAAAAAGCTCCTCCTTATTAAGAACCATATTTTGCTGTAGAGGTCTTAAGTTGGCTATATTATATAAAACATTGATGTTGCATTATAGGTGCTTCAGATGAGTGTATTGGTTCTATGTATCATCCATTAACAGGAAAAGTAAAGCTCTCCCAAGTTTTTGAAAAGAAGTACAATGTTTTACTTCTCTTCAAAGAAAATTTAAAAATTAATTAATTAATTAACCAGATAATGAATGAAACATATCAGAACCATATAGACTTTTTCCAGGAATTGGCCAATATTGGATATTTTTGCCTATTCTTCCTGCTTACTCTTACATAACAGCAAAATAAATAAAAAATTCAGGCACCATCTAACCAGTGTTTATTTTTATTCATTTTTTTTTTTTTTTTTTATTATTCAAAGGTTATTCTTTTCTCTAAAGCAGATTTAAAAAATAAAAGGTATCAATCTCATTCTGCACTCATCTTACGTCGGATACTGAAAAATAAAGAATAACGATATCAATAATAAAAATACATACTATAATTTTAAAGTGTTTTGGGGTCAGAAATTTGAGGGGTTTCTTTTTTTTTAAGAAATTAATATTTTTTCAGCAACAATGACAATAAAGACATTTAAAATTTTACAAAAGGTTTCCATTTCAAATATAAATGCTGCTCTTTTGAACTTTCTATTGATCAAAGCATCCTGGAAAAAAAAATAACAACACCGTTTCCAAAAAAAAAAGAAAAAAAAGAAATGTTTCTTTAGCCTCAAAACAGCATAATAGATTGATTTCATGTGACACTGAAGACTGGAGTAATGGCTGCTGAAAATTCAGATTTGCAAACATAGGAATAAATTACATTTTTAAATATTTTCAAATAGTTTTACTGTATTTTTAATCAAATAAATGGTGAGTATTAGAGACTCCTTTCAGAAACATTCAAATCTTACTGACGACAAACTTTTACCTTTAGTGTACATAGATGTATAATATCAAACATTTATTGGTCAGCAACAATAGCATGAAAATAATTGCTGCTTATCAATAGTGACCAAAATTTCAAAATTGGTGTTTCACAACCCATTTTACTTGCATGATCTGATGTATTTCATCCATCAGAAATTGGTTGGATCCACACCTGAATGGAACAAAAACTGAAAGAGAGTTTGCAGTAGATTGTAAAGAACTTTTCCTCTCCTGAAACACTGTTGACACCCACTTGGACCGTGGAGGTTAAAGTCACATTTACCATTGAGAGCATATACCATAGTTTAATGGTAACACTATATTTTCCTATGGCATCAGGCTTTAGAGATTTTTTTAGCTTGTGGTTTAAATGATTATATTTGACTCTCAGGGTGGTGAAACTAACGCTAGATAGATTTTCATACTCCTGCTGCTGATACACAACTGTGCATCTTTGTATCACCCAGTCACTTTAGCCATATAATCAGATTGGTTTATGTGTTGATGTTTCGACAGCTCAATGTAGAGATGGATCAATGTATGGACAGTATTAACACTCTGTGTCACTGAACTTTCCCCAACTTAACAAAGAGAAAATCGAAGGGCTCTTAGTCAGAGATAAGGGCGGAGAGTGAAACTGTCTACAATGTGAAAATCCTCTCTTGAATACTAAGGCCCAATCCCAATTCTACCCCTTAGCCCTTCCCCGATTCTGTCTCGATTCTCTTTTGGTTGGAGGGGTAGGGCCAGATAGCCCTTCAAACGAAGATTTTTCGGGACCACACTTCAAACGAAGGGGTATGAATAATCTCAGCATAAACCGGCTTCAGCGGCAACATGGCTGCGCGAGCGAACAAAAAGACATTAATATAGAACGATAATTAAAGGCTCTAATTCACACCAGCATAGGTGTGTGTATTGACGCATGATGACGTGTGACGGCATAGTAGTGGTGTCCCAATTCTTAGGGGAATATTTTCACCCCTACCCCTTGACACTCTGTTTCAAGGGACAAGGGGAAGGGGTAGGCGGAGGGGTAGGAGAAGGGGAAGGGGTATAAAATAGAATTGGGATTGGGCCTAAGTCTCACGTGTGTGTATCGTTGTGCACAAATTTGAATTTTGAGGTCCACATCAGACAGGCCACTTAAACTGCTTTTTATCAGCTAAGAAACAGTCCAAGCGCTTCTCTTTCGAGCAGATGCTGAGAGATTGATGCATGCCTGGACTGCAATGCTCTCCTGTCTGCTCTTCCCCAGAACACCCGGCTAGACTACAAATTAATGCTGCAGCACGAGCGCTGACAGAGACCAGAATGAAAGCACACATTACGCATGTCTTAAAGTCCCTTCATTGGCCTCTCGTAAATTTTAGGATTGATTTCAAATTTCTGTTACCGGTGTACAGATCCCTTAATGGGCTTGCACCTAAATCCATATCTAATAAGCTTGTGAGGATAGTTTCAAACAGGTCTCTCTGGTCTCCTAACACTGGCGTCCCAGCAGTCAGTAGTAAATCTCATTGCTCTCCAATGGCTGTTAGAAGAAATCACATTCTTGATCAGTTTAAACAAAACATGCAAATTTTTTACACAACCTCTGATTTGTTTTCTTTATTCCTATGGCTGATTTATTTATTTGTAAACTTTATTTTATGTATTTATTACATATGGTTTAACTGCT